AGGGAGATCAGATTTGATTCCAAATCCTAAAAAAAATAAAATGTTTTTTTTAGGAACTTTAAGGCTAGATTCTTAAGAAGAGACGCCCCTAAGGCCTAAGAGAGCAGAAACATCCCCAGCTGAAGCGTAATCTGAGTCCCAATCTCTCAGCACATCAGAGCCTGAGTGTTTTTGAGGACAACGCCCGGTGGAGGGAAGAAACTCCGTCTTGGCATGTTGCTAGGCGATGCATTAATATTAATGCTGTCTTTTTCCAGAACGTGTGCTCGTCTCTGGTCCCCCTTGGGAGAAACTGAGGCTTAAAGATATCTCCATCTCAGTGATACTTCTTTTATCCTGCTTAAAACTCATATCAAAGGTTTTAATTACATTCAGCTAATGTAACGCTGCAGAGCTTTGTTGAGAGTCACAGTTGCCCTCTGAGTTTCCCGTTAGCTCCGTTGATAAGCCTAACTTTGTCTAATAGAAAAATGTGGTCTATTTTCTGCTGTTGTTTGAACCTGTGTGCTGTTTATTTTTATTTTTTTACCTAATCTGCTCAGCATTATATCTGATTCAGAGGTGTGCTTTCATGTTTTTTTTTTCTACATCTTTGAAAATGATTTTACCCAGGAGAAGTAAATCTGTGCTTGTGTCTGCCCTCTGCCTCACCTCCTTTCCTCTGCCGGGCTTTTAGCCTGGAGTCTTCGTCGCGGACCTCGCTGCTCCTCCCTGCTGCCCTCTTCACAAAACCATTTTCCAGGAGCTGAAACACAGATGTTATCCTTCTGATTAAACGTTCAAGGTTACGTCTCCCAATACATCAAAGTCCCACCTCTGCTGAAAGAGGCAGCGTGACAGCCAGTAGTTTAGGTAGCCTGGAGGTGTAAGCTCCAGCGTCCTCACATTCATTTCGGTTGTTTTTTTTTTTCCTTAACTGACATACCATATGTGCTTTGAATTAAACGTTTCCCTGATGCATTAGTTTTGTAAACATTGCTGGTCTTCCTTCTTTCTTGTAGCGATCTACAAATAAGACATTTCTTTTTTTTTTCAGAGTCCTCTCTGGCAATGTGGCAATAAGAATAATTGTCTTAAAGCCAAAAACAGCCCAACAGATTTTGCTTTCACAAGTTGAGCATTACGGCTTTCGCCATAGCGTTCCTCGTGATTTATGAATATAAATAGCTTTATTGTAAATCAGGGCTCCATGTCAACCATCGCCCGATCTGCCGGGGCAAGTAGTTTTTATTGTCGGAAGAGTACAAATTTCATTGCATTTGCCCACCGGGCAAGAGCAAT